AAGAAAACAGACATCCTCAAAAAGGTATTTGTTTTCAGGGAGGTCAGATTTGGACTACTTGAAGGCAAAGGAAAACCTTTGCCTTCAAGTAGCTTATTGTAAAAATATGTTGACTTGTGTCCTGTCTAACACCATATTTGATTCTCTTTTCCACAACAGTTCATATGCTCACTTGAACTTGAATCTCTTCCTTTAGAAGTAGTATCTATTGTGTGCTGTTCAGTCGAGAGAAACTGCGAAGCATACAACAGTTACCTTGTCCAGTTCACTTGCCACAGCCTCAGAAATGAAAAACAGCATCCAAAAAAAATCTAATTCACATGTGGAGAATAGAGTGGCACCTCGGTTTTCTAACACCATTATTTTTCCCTGAATCAATATTTAAGACTAGGTTTGTGTCTATGAATTTCACTGTTTCCAAGAAAATAAACAGGCCCATATACAGGATGTGTTCAGTTTCTCTTTAGTTATTGATTTAGGTCCTCAACTCAGAGGAAGGTTGGTCCCTTCATTTTCAAGATGGCTACTTAGACAGTGATTTTTATGCTTGTTGATGTTTTGTTACTATTGCTATCGGTCTCTTCAGTTTCTGAACTGGAAACAATTGGAAAAAAGCTCTCTCATGTAAAGATGATGCTTGCAGGAACCTTGAAAGAGTTTTGTTTAAAAAAAAAAAAAAAAAAGTGTTTAGGAAGACTGTGTGCATGCGTGCGCACATGCCAGAGAGAGAGAGAGGTTACCATTGTTAGGTTGTGTTCTAGAGAACTGTGTCTAGATTATTAACTGAATGAGGAACTCATTATTCTTGGCTAGTCTTCCTGGAATTCTGATTCCATACACACCCTGTTGATTCTCTTTTAGTATAAGATAGTCATGTCAAATGAGTGTCAGATACCAACATTGATGTGACCTGAGTCAGTGTGTGTATTATATACCTATGTCTACCAGTACTGGTAGCAGTGAAGTGGGAAGCCATCTGCAGGCTCACTTCTGTAGATCAGATTGCAGTGCTTTCTTTATTTGGGCTCATGTTTTCCTAACTGCTAGTTGTCATGAAAGTGGATCTGTAAGGTACTAGTTGATAAAGAGCAACTTGTGGGGAAAAGGATGCATCTTTGCATCCTTCCCTTGAAGAGTAGTCTGAATCTGAACACAGTAAAATTAAGTAAGTATTGCATGGGCTGTTGATCTTGGTGAGGGGTGGGAAACTGCCACAATTTGTCAGACAATAACATCACAAAGGATTAAAACAGTGTCAGATTAGCTAATTGGAGACCACATGTCCAGTAGAATGAAAAATCGGTCACCAGCTGTTTGTCATATATGCCAGCTTGGTTGACTAACTCTGCCAGCAGGATTCCATCGCTGTTTTAGAAAATCCAGAGAATATTCTATCCCCATTTTCCATTAGAAAACAAATATCCCAAATTGTTGTGTATTATCATGTCATGTGGACCTTTACTCAAACCCATGGAGAAGAAGTTACTACAAAAGATAGCGAGGTTTGCTTCTTTCTGATTGCTGAGGACTAGGCAAAAGGGCATTATTCCCAGATTTGGTGAATTTGCCAGTGGAACTGTCATCCTGGCTTCTAGTTAATAGGTTTTAAAACATTGGATCCAGTCGTCATCATTGATAAAGTTCACCACTGGCTTACAGTGTAATTATGGATAGAGTCACCTCAGATAGATAGGGGAAAATATCCATCAGTGGCATTTTATTCTTTTATAAGCAATCTATCTCTGTATAATACAAAAGAATTTGTTAACAACCATGCTAATAAAGATGGTACCTGCCGCCTACAGTTTTGTACTTTGGAGTTTTTGCAAGAGGAATGTTTTGAGGATGAGTATTGGGTCACTAATAGGGCTATGCGAAATTTCAGCAGCCGTTTCATTTCAGAGGTGTTTCGGACCATTTTGGCACATGAAACACCAAATCCGAATAGAAACGGAAGGCTCCAAAACGTCTCTGAAATGAAATGAGGCATCCGGAAAGTTTCAGAACTGTTTCGGAAAATTTGGGAGTTTCAGAGTTGGGCTTGCAGGGAAACATCTGTATGCTGCTGCCCTGCTGCGTGACTCGACTCTTCAGGGAGCAGAGATCTGTGCTGGGGTCTCCTCGCCACCACTGCCCCAGAGCTCTGCTCCCTGCAGAGCTGAGTCACACAGCAGGGACCAGCAGGCTTGCTTGCTGCTCTGGACTGCCTCCCTGCCCTGCAACCTAGCATGATAGGGATCAGAGATCCACGCGGGGGTCTCCTTGCCTGCACAGTGGGCAGTGGCCCCCCCCCCCCCCCGGACAAGCCACCCACAAGCCCATCCTGCTCCCCACTGGGGTCCCTGGCCCCAAGTTCTCCCTGGCTGGGCAGTAGGGCTGTGTGAAGCTTGCAGCCCATTCGAAACCGATTGGGAGGAGATTCGGCTCTGCAGATTCAGCCGAAACGAAACAGGGCAGTGATCCGAAACAAATTGCTGTCCTCTGAAATGACTGAATCAAAAACCGGATCAAAACACAGCCATTTCGCGCAGCCCTAG